TCAGAAACGGAACATGCCATGACGGTGCTGTTTCTTGTGTTTACACACTTCGTATGTCAGTTGCCACTTTGCATGAACGAAATGTTTATGTGGACACTAAAGAAGGAGAATGGAGTGATCCTGGCCCACCCGTCACTCGCTATGCTGTCCTGGTTGAATTCCGCCATCAATCCAGTGATATACCTTATAAGGAATCCTAACTTGTCTAACCTCATACAGAACGGGCAATGTTGTTTACCTATCCTGGGCGGAAGTAGGACGTACACTGAGTCCCGTCACTCCGTTAATACACTGTCGACTTCGGAAAGTTTCAGTGTTGGCAAGGACTCCGTTAGTACAGGCTATTGTAAGGAGATGACGACATAAATATCTGTAATTGAGATATTTCATGTTTTTTCCACTGGAAATTGTTAGGTCCACTTGACATCACATTACAGCCTTCAGCCAAACGCATGTGACAAATACATTAACTGGGTTTGTGACGTCTCAATAAAATACACAGGGTGGTATTGACTAGGTGTCGTGACGTCATACTTAAATAGAGAGAGAGAGTGATATTGGATATGTATTGTGATCATGTAGTTAAACTAGGATCGTTTATACAAGAAAGCAGTACATTTTGCTACATACCAGTTGCAGACAGTGACATTTTCATCATTTTCCTAAAATGTTTTCATCGATAATTGGTATTGGCGATACTATTATTATAATTTATCTGTTGAAATGCAGTTAACTGCTAAAAACATTTTTTTTTGGGGAAAAAAAAGAATTAAATAAATATTATAAACTAGAGTGCGGCGCAAACTGTTGAACTTTTAGGTATTAACGCGTTTATGTTTCGTGCACGATATCCACTCGGGGTAAGAGTGTTGGATATGTTGGTAATAACGATTTTGTTATAATGTATACATTTTGATATTAGTGGTGCTTTTTTAATTATTGATATGTTGAAATACATCTAACTGCTATTTTTATTCTTTAACAAATATTATAAACTACAGTGCGATGTACACATGTTGAACATTATGGTGAGGCCATCCTCGATATCCAGAAATTACGTATATACGCTCACTTTTGCTCTCTACACCCCTGGAATATGTCATAGCAAAATTGAAGGCACGAAGACAGCTGTCTAAGGTAAATAAAAACCTGACCAATCGCTAGGCTGATACCTGTCCTTTGAAGATTACAAAGGAAAGACGCCCGACTTCAAAGCCTGTCAATTTTTACCGTTACGTGACCGCGAGATTCTTTTGATGTACATCAAAGGATTGAACTAGTCTACAAGGTGGCGCACATCGAGCCTTTAATTTTGCTATGACATATTACAGGGGTGTAGAGAGCGAAAGTGAGCGTAACCCCTGGATATCGTGGATGTGGTGAAGCACGCGATTATGTTTCGTGCTGTTTTCCACTCAGGGTAAGACAGCCTGGCCGGACGTGTGTACTACCCTGTTCAACGGAACAGAAATATTCAGATCTTAACTGATAGAAGTTAGTTTCTTTTTGTTCAACACCCCTTTTTGTTGAACCAATATTTGAAGAAACTATCGGTATTCCAATTCTCACGAACTGAGTGTTATCTCCAGTATATTTTTATTTTTATTTTGTATTTAAATGAAGAATGATTTGTTTGGTGTAGAACACTGTTAACTTCTAGAAGATGTGTATGCCTTCGTGTCTTCTGTTTGTTTGCCGAGTATTTTCGTATCGATTTTGAGCTAATTTTCATTGTAAATATTTTTCTGTTTTTTTTTTTTGATGATATGAAGGTTTGGCAAAAATAAACCTACCAGTAAGTAATATACAATGTAGTTACATGTGAAGGGAGCTCAAGCAAATCACTGCCTTGACTTTTTGGAGGGGTGGGGTTGGTGATGGGTGTTGTTTGTGTATAGCTATGTTTATATTACTGATGTTTTCCCCCGAGATTGATAGAATGTTAAGGAAGGACATCTTGATTATATATTTTACTCGAAAGTAAGTGTGTTGCCTGAATTTTATTGTTTATATATTTATACTTATATACAGAAACATTCTGGCCCTGAAAATCCGTGATCCACTTACAACTCCATCGTATAACTATAACCTGCTTTTGAGTGATTTCTATACACAGTGACATAGCGTCATAGGTCTGGATATTATTTAGTTGTGACACGAATATAAGCTTTATGGTAGTAACGTACTTTTATATTGTATTGCAGTATTATTGTTTTTCCAATAAAATATATTTTAATGTGAACAATGTAGTTTGTTTTTAATTTTAATATTATAGCTATTACAGTTTAATATTCTAAAATAGATTCAATAAAAAACGTTTAAAATAGACTCTATAAAAAAATAGAATGTAAAGATCTCTGTTTGTAGAAAGCTTTGAAAACCACTGTTTGTAAGATTGCGTTTAGTTGGTGGTAGAATGGGGTAAAATTTGAAAGATGTTATTACAAAACCCAGGTTTAGCAATGCCAAGAATTTCCCATTATTGAGATGAAATATCAGGACCTGTCGGTGTCCCTTTTTACAGCGTTATGGAGCGGGAGCTATTTTCCAACTAGACAAGTCAAACCCCAACATGACGTTTCAGAGGCAACACAAATGTCCAAATGTTTCCAGACTTGTCACCTAGGGTTGGGATGTTTCAGCTTGGTCGAGCCTAAACGCAGGAGTAGAACATTTCCACTTTAGACGTCATTAACGGTCTATAACAGCTGCTAGATACAGGCTAATGGAGGACCACCATCCTCGATATCCAGGGGTTACGCTCACTTCCGCTCTCTGCACCCCTGTAATATGTCACAGCAAAATTGAAGGCTCAGCGTGCGCCACTTTGTAGATGAGACGAGGAGACTAGTTCGATCCTTTGATATACATCAAAAGAATTTCGCGGTCACTTAATGGTAGAAATCTTCAAAAGGACAGGTACCAGCCTAGCGATTGGTCAGTTTTTCCCCCTGAGACCAATCAAACAGCTACCTTCGTGCCTTCTTTTTTGCTATGACATATTCCAGGGGTGCAGAGAGCGAAAGTGAGCGTCAAGGATGGAGGACCGACAGCCCAACCTCCGCGCTATTTAGTTATGTATTTCTTTAGCTGTTATTAGCTCACCTGGCCCGAAGGGCAATGTGAGCTTATGCCGTACTGCGGCGTCTGTCGTCCGTCAGTCAACATTTTCTTGTGAACGACTTCTTCTGAAGAACTGGAGGACCTGGGGTCATACTATTTGGCCAGTAGATACCTAGGTTGAGTGCTATAGATTTTCCTTATTAAAAGGACATTGACCTAGTTTCAAGGTCACAGGTGTCAAATATGTTAAAAACTTCAAACAACAATATCCTAAGAACCATTTGGAATAGAGTCATGATACTTGTTAATATGTTATGTAGTCCAGCAGTGCAAATCCTTTTCCTAATTACAGTAATAAGTTCAAAGGTCAACTTTAAGTGCTAGCTGGGAGCCAAACAAGAACATGGGTTAAAAGCTTTAACAATATTCGTCTCAGGTTCCAAAAGGCCCAGGGTCATGATATTTGGCCAGTAGGTACCTGAGATTGCGTGCTATAAAGTTTCCCCATTAAAATGACTTGACCTAGTTTCAAGGTCAGAGGTGTCAAAAAAACTTCAAACAACAATATCCTAAGAATCATTGGGACTAGAGTCATGATACTTGGGTATGTAATTTAGTCTAGCAGTGCAAATTCTTCTCTTTATTTCAGTAATGAGGTCAAAGGTCAACTTTAAGTGCTAGTTGGGGGTCAAACGTCAACATGCGTTAAACGCTTTAACAATATTCTTCTCTAGTTCCATAAGGGGTAAAGTGCTATGAAGTTTCCTCATTAAAATGACATTGACCTAGTTTCAAGGTCACAGGTGTCAAATATGTTAAAAACTTCAAACAATAATATCCTAAGAATCATTGGGACTAGAGTCATGATAATTAAGTATGTTATGTAGACCAGCAGTGCGGATCCTTTTCCTAATTACAGTAATGAGGTCAAAGGCTAACTTTAAGTGTTAGCTGGGGGTCAAACGTCAACATGGGTTAAAAGCTTCAACAATCTTCTACTCAAGTTCCATAAGGCCCAGTGTCATGATATTTGGCCAGTAGGTACCTGGGATGGAGTGGTATACAGTTTCCTCATTAAAATGACCTTGACCTAATTTTAAGGTCACAGGGGTCAAATATGTTAAAAACGTCAAACAACAATATCCTAAGAGCCATTTGGTCTAGAGTCATGATACTTAGGTATGTTATGTATAGACTAACTGAATCGTGTTCCATATTTCACTAATGATGTCAAATGTCAACTTTAAGTGCTAGCCGGAGTCAAAGGTCAACGCGGGTTAAAAGCTTTAAAATTAACATTTCAAATTTCAAACAACAATATCTTAAGAAGCGTTTAAGAGATGTTAAATGTCTTGTGTTCTAGTTACCAAGTTTGGTCTGAAGTAACCTATATGTCAGTTTCATGTAACCAAAGAAACATGTGAGCGATACAGGCCCTCTGGGACTCTTGTTTAAAGACCTTTAAAAACACTCAGACGGCTAACATTTTGCTGATTAATAACATATAATTTCAGTTTTTGTTTTTGTATGAAAAACCCCAGCTAACATTTCCTTTTTATTGAATACTTTTTTGTAAGTTACAATCAAGTATTTTGATGTTTACCGTATTTTAACTAGTGTTTACTTTAATTTGTAGGATAAGGTAATTCGATAGTTTTAATAAAGTGATATTTTACGTTAAAATCGTTATTGATAATAAAGAATTTGGTTATTTTTATAAATAAACCATCAAATAATAAAATGCAATTAATGTATTTAAACAACAAATATGCTACAAGCAAATATGTTCACCTCTGGCTCTATGATACCATACAATGCGTCCCATAAGTTAAATAGTCAAGCTCACAGTGTTTACTTGTTGTAAGATACGGTTGGGCTCAGTGCGCCTACAGCCGAACGTTTGTGACATTGGGATATCATACTGTGGTAGTAACAGTAGAGGAGCGAGGTCACGCTATCTAGCAGGAGGTCTGACCAGGTGTTGACACGATGTCAAATAAGATATTGGTACTACAAACAGGAGGTCAGTATCACTTGTTACACAAATCTGTGTATCTAAAGACGTAGCTGTCGACGTATCATAACTAACATTGCCCTTTCCCTATATGAAATATCAACTCAGCTACTTAACACAGTGCGTAAGGGTGTACATTGTTGAACCGATGTGCGGCTGAATTTCACGCTGTTCTTTCTGGTAAGACGCTTTCAAAGTCATGCATTCATGATGCTATACCTGGTGTCGTTGTTTTCTTGGTAATACGTATTGTTGATATTTATTGAAACAAAGCTGATTGCTCACAGAAATATTTAAACCCGGAGTTAAATATTAAATATTAAAATTTACCTTGTTGTTGTTGTATATAAACATATGACGAAAAATTAATTCTACTGCATTTTTCACAAACGAATTGCATACATTATATATATATATACACATTATCGACGCAAGAAATTCCACGTCTAGTTGTTTTGAAATAACGTATAAACAAATACATATACTCCCCTTCAAGGTATTGCATGAACAATTAATTGCATTTGTCAAAAATGGACTTAATCTCAACGGGTATATGACAATATTTTTAAGGACATTGACATTCTATAAATTTACGAATCTATAACGATATGGTGATGTAATACGTATCGGACAATTAATCGTCGAGTTTTTAGGGCGACATGCACCTCTTTCAAAACAACATAAAAGCCCCACACAACGGACCTTAACTGATACAACTACGTAGTTGATGTTTTCTCATTGTCTCTCATTTCTGTCAGGTACTTTGGATAAATGCTACCCAAAGACTATCCTTGGTTATGCCTTCGAGATAGGTGAGCCTGCTGTCTCGCGCGTCCTTGACCGCGTGAAATCGTCCTTAGCCGTGGAAGTGAAAAGCGTGTGTAGGTTAGATAGCCAGGACATACGTCAAGAGGACAGGTGAGTTTAGACATAAGTGGAGGTTAGATAGCCAGGGTATACGTCACGAGACAGGTGAGTAGATTAAGATATGAAAGTGTAGGTTAGGTTAGATAGCCAGGATATACGTCACGAGGACAGGTGAGTAGATATACAGGTGTATGTTAGATAGCCAGGATATACGTCACGAGACAGGTGAGTAGAGATATAGGTGTAGGTTATATAGCCAGGTCATACGTCACGAGACAGGTGAGTAGAGATATAGGTGCCAGGATATACGTCACGAGGACAGGCGAGTAGATATATAGGTGTAGTTTAGATTACCAGGATATACGTCACGAGGACAGGTGAATAGATATACAGGTGTATGTTAGATAGCCAGGATATATGTCACGAGGACCGGGGAGTAGAGATATAGGGGCCAGGATATACGTCACGAGGACAGGCGAGTAGATATGTAGGTGTAGTTTAGATTACCAGGATATACGTCACGAGGACAAGTGAGTAGGTATATAGGTGTAGGTTAGATAGCCAGGACATACGTCACGAGGACAGGTGAGTAGAGATAAAGGTGTAGTTTAGATAACTAGGATATACGTCACGAGGACAGGTTAGTAGAGATAAAGGTGTAGGTTAGATAGCCAGGATATACGTCACGAGGACAGGTGAGTAGAGATAAAGGTGTAGTTTAGATAGCCAGGACATACGTCACGAGACAGGTGAATAGAGATAAAGGTGTAGGTTAGATAGCCAGGATATATGTCACGAGGACAGGTGAGTAGAGATATAGGTTGGGGTTAGATAGCCAGGATATACGTCACGAGGACAGGCTAGTAGAGATAAAGGTGTAGGTTTGATAGCCAGGACATACGTCACGAGGACAGGTGAGTAGAGATAAAGGTGTAGGTTTGATAGCCAGGACATAAGTCACGAGGACAGGTGAGTAGAGATATAGGTTGGGTTTAGATAGCCAGGATATACGTCACGAGGACAAGTGAGTAGATATATAAGTGTAGGTTAGATAGCCAGGATATATGTCACGAGGACCGGTGAGTAGATATACAGGTGTATGTTAGATAGCCAGGATATATGTCACGAGTACAGATGAGTAGATTACAATATGAAAGTGTAGGTTAGGTTAGATAGCCAGGATATATGACCAGGACAGGTGAGTAGAGATATAGGTGCCAGGATATACGTCACGAGGACAAGTGAGTAGATATATAAGTGTAGGTTAGATAGCCAGGATATATGTCACGAGGACAGGTGAGTAAATATATAGGTGGAGGTTAGATAACCAGGATATACGTCACGAGGACAGTTGAGTAGAGATATAGGTGGAGGTTAGATAGCCATGATATACGTCACGAGGACAGGCGCGGAGATATATAGGTGTATGTTAGATAGCCAGGATATACGTCACGAGGACAAGTGAGTAGATATACAGGTGTATGTTAGATAGCCAGGATATATGTCACGAGTACAGATGAGTAGATTACAATATGAAAGTGTAGGTTAGGTTAGATAGCCAGGATATATGTGACCAGGACAGGTGAGCAAAGACATAAGTGGAGGTTATATAGCTAAGGTATACTTCACGAGACAGGTGAGTAGAGAGATAGGTCGAGGTTAGATAGCCAGGATATACGCCACGAGGACAGATGAGTATGAATATAGGTGTATGTTATATAGCCAGGATATACGTCACGAGAACAGGTGAGTAGAGATATAGGTGTAGTTTAGATAGCCAGGATATACGTCAAGAGGTAGTTGGTTGGGGTAATCGACCTTGTAAAGAGTGTAATGTTTGGGTGAAATGAACTTTCTTCGCAGATGTTGACTTTGGTTCAATGCCCGGTAATCGTGGAAAGCATTGACTTTTCAGACGAATCGCTGCTTGCCAAAAACAAGTGGTATAGAAAATTGTCTGAGGTTAGTCAGAAGTAACTGACTTTCGCCTTTTAAAAAAAGGAAACTGTTCGTTGTCGACATTTGTATCAATAGACAATCCTTCATATTTGCATAAAAAGTGTGTCAATTATTACGGACTAGTCTGGGGGTGCTATAGGGTTTAACACATAAGATTGCAATTTGGAAAAAATGTGTCTACAGAACACGTGCTATTATCCATGTACTGCACACTCAGGCAGGCACGCATGTTAAGATATTATGCATGTTAAAGCTACAATGTCCTTATTTTGGTTAGATATCAATGTTATATGATAATAATAATGACTATCATAGCACAGAGTAGGACGATAAAAGGGACTGAGAGAATGATGGAACTTTTCAGGAAGCAGGGCATGTTGATGTATTTGCCTCTTTGCGATAGCGTAGATCTGATGTCGACTTTAGAGTGCCCCCTTACTGAAAAACCACTTACAACGAGTAAACCAGTTATCGCAATAACACTAAATGCTGCATTTAGAAAGAATAACAACTGACTTTGGTATATCTCGGCCTGGGGACAGAACCCATTGCCTACCACACTTTGTCGAAAGCTCAACATTCAGGCCAAAAGTGAGGTATTGCCAAGCAAGGTACTAGGAAACAAAACAAAAAGGTTTTCCGGAAGTAAAGAGAAAATATCAAAATCCCAAATGTTGCAATGGGGGAAGCAGATCAATTGTGTTATTTTTAATGTCCCCTTATTAGAAGAAACAAAAGAGAGATCCCGATTCTGCAGGGGCCCACATAAGTCGCCTTTTACGTAGTGAAGTGGGATACAGAAGGCCTCTACTTTCCCCGAACCTGCTGGGGTGTCTAATTTCTGGGTGACCTTCATACTGTCATATCCGGAGAACACGCGTAGTACAAAGCTTCCCTTTCCGCATCACACGGATTCGGTGGAAATGAGAAACAAGTTCACGTTATCTATTTTTGGTGAAGATATCCACAAAAGAGAACTACGCAAAACAATTTTGCGAAAAAAGGTTATCATTGTGTTTTAAACAAACTGTTTGTTTTGTAGGGTGAAGCTTGCCGGTGCGTGTCGTGAGACGGAAGTAAAGAGGATTTTGGTGACGCATGGTACGGATACAATGCTAGAAACAGCAGACATGTTGTCGAAGGAACAACTTGACAAGATTATAGTTCTGACTGGTTCCTTCCTTCCGGAAACATTTAAGGATTCTGATGCTGATTTTAATATAGGATTTGCGATTGGCTGTTTACAGACGATGACTTCCATTGGTGTATATGTGGCCATGAATGGATGTGTCTTGCCATGGTCTAACTGTCGCAGAGATTCACAGACAAATATGTTTGGGCCAATAGAGTAGTTTGAAACCTTTATAATGTGTAAATGATACGGAAACGCCTTATGCTACCCCAATAAGTATTGTAAACGTTCTTATTATATAGAGCACGGACGTTTTTTTCGAGTTAACGAATTTGCAATAGAAAACTATATACAAAATCTTAAGTTTGCGAAATCAAAATTAGTCGAAATAGCATTAAAAAACATTTGAATAAGATAACCGCATATATATTTACAGAATAAAGATAATATTGTCAGTATACAAATGGATAAAATTTGTACTGTATGGAGATTATTTCAAAGTTAACGGTAGAGACTATAACAGTATAATCAACTCATGGTGACGTCACCCGCATCTAACTAAGCGGTATTAGTAATGGACCACTTCATTAGGTAGAGAATTACGCCACTTTTCTATAATGTGAGGTGAGGTTCTTGTAAAATTTATGTAACTGAAACTATGTAAATACAAATGAATTAATTCGTTCATTCATTTATTAGCTCACCTGGCCCGAAGGGCCAAGTGAGCTTGTGGCATGGTGCGGCGTTTGTCGTCCGTCCGTCGTCCGTCCGTTGTCAACTTTCTACTTTATACAATTTCTTCTGAATAACCAAGAGGCCCAGGCTGATGATATTTGGCCAGTAGCATGCTGGGATGAAGGGCTACCAAGTTTGTTCAAATGAATGACCTTGACCCACTTCCAAGGTCACAGGGTCAATCTTCAAACGACTTCTTCTCAATAACCAGAAGGCAGAGGGTACTGATATTGGGCCTGTACCATGCTGGGATAAAGGGCTCCCAAGTTTGTTCGATTGAATGACCTTGACCCACTTCCAAGGTCACAGGGGTCACATCTTCAAACGACTTCATCTCAATAACCAAAAGACCGAGGGTACTGATATTGGGCCTGTAGCATGCTGGGATAAAGGGCTACCAAGTTTGTTCAAATGAATGACCTTGACCCACTTCCAAGGTCACAGGGGTCACATCTTCAAACGACTTCTTCTCAATAACCAAAAGACCGAGGGTACTGATATTGGGCCTGTACCATGCTGGGATAAAGGGCTACCAAGTTTGTTCGATTGAATGACCTTGACCCACTTTCAAGGTCGCAGGGGTCAAATGTCTTAAAATCTTCAAACGACTTCTTCTCAATAACCAAAAGGCCAAGAGTACTGATATTTGGCCTGTAGCATGCTGGGATGAAGGGCTACCAAGTTTGTTCGAATGAATGACCTTGATCAACTTTCAAGGTCACATGGGTCAAATGTGTTAAAATCTTCAAACAACTTCTTCTCGATAACCAAAAGGCCGAGGGTACCGATATAGGGCCTGTAGCATGCTGGGATGAAGGGCTACCAAGTTTGTTCAAATGAATGACCTTTTCCCACTTTCAACCTAATGTCCTTGTTCGACATTCGAGGTCACAGGCGTCATATGTTTAAATCTTTTAATAGGTTCTTATGAATTAAACACTGACATTCTGCCTGTAGCTGTTATTTAGTCCACTATTAAGATTACAAGTGTGAGATTAATACCAGGTGAGCGATGCCGGCCCATTGGCCTCTTGTTCAATTAATTACAACTCGCGAGCTTCTTGAAGGTGTAGCAACATTTTAAAATTCCAATTAATGCTCTAGAAAAGTATCAACATCATGAGGCAAATATGATCAGGGATTGAAAATTCCTGGGGCAGAGAGGTTTTTGTTGGAAAGAATTTGTTTTCTTCCTTATATAAATCTTTACTTTAGTAAATGAGAAAAAGAACACCTCGTACCAGCCGTCACGATCACTGCGGTCGGAGTCAGAATGATTGTTGTGTGTCCCAAAATCTCGTACTGTGACCTATACACACCGGTGCTTTGGGAGGCTTTCGGCAACGTTGTGGAAAAGCTTACCATCTGCTTTTAGAAAGTCAAATACCCTGGCCAAATTCAAGAAGGACATACAAATTCACCTCTTCACGTCTGCATTTTAGTTTTTTTTGCACAGACGTCATGTACATATCATCCTTTATTTATTCATGTATGTGCACATTGAGATGATTATCTACTTGCTTAATGTATAATGGTAATTGTCAGTCTTTTTGTTTCACAATTATAACTAATACTATTAACCCATATATTGTAACGCGTAATTTAAAAATTTGTATATTTATCTCAACACAGAGCAATAAGAATTTCTAACGCGCAGTCAAATTCAAAACGATGAATATAAAAAGCAATCCAGACTATAAATTAGTTTTCCCACGTTTGGGTCTGCTATACGTTTTTTCAATTTCCTTACATTTCTATTCATATGACGTTGGGAAACTGTGCCATACACAAAAAGAAAAAAATCTCTTCATTTTCGATTAAAATAATACACAGCAGTAATTTATTAAAAAATATATATTTTATTTTGTTCAAGGTTTCAAATTCATATTATTGGTGGGCTTAAAACATCAAAAATCATCCCATGGTACCGTCAAAGAAAGTCTGTTCTACATAATCAATATATTCAAGGAGGGATATAATGTCTTATTGATCATCACAGGCTTGATTTAATATAATGAAGTACATACGTTGAGTGAGTGAGTGTCCATGACAAAAACGTCAAATTCGTTGATTTCATGCCGCCCGCTTTGACGTTGTAGCATCGATCAATGCCAGGTAGTAGCAGCAACATTATCAACTGACTCGGATTTGGTCAACGATTAAATCCACCTGAACATTGAGCAGCCTGTGCCGTATTAAGTGAGAATCTGTACATGAATAGATAAGTGTCTGTCCGAATCAAGGAATCACATTTTTATAATAAGGCGCACAGATTCCAAATAAGTTAGCATGGGAATCGTAAAATATACACTAAGTTAAGCTGAGTTCCGTAATTCAGTTAAGAGATAAATAAACCAGAAAAAAAGAAACTCAATAAATATATGCAGATTCTGTTCATCGCAGAATGCGGCTAGAGCATGGACATTCAGCAAGCAATCCTAAATACTGACTACAATAGATTAACTGCTATACACGTGTCTGTAAGACAAAAAGTTAGAGGGAAAGATCAAAGGTCAAGGTTAGAGAAAGTCATGCAAAACACACTACTCATAGAGGTGTATGTGAAATTTGGTAATCTAGCTTTAGTCCATTACTGACCTTAACGCAAAAGTTTAACCAAGGTCACAGATGTCGAGATCAAAGGTGAAGGTAAACAAATGTTTTAAAATATGTTTCACTCAACAAAGCACATAAGAACGAGTAGATGAAATACCTTAGCTTCAACATTTATTCTATAATTGACCAAAACACTTCGTACGGCCAGACGCAAGTATGAACAAAGTCTGCCAATTAAAGCCCACGCTCCTTCGTCGCAGCCATTGTTTAGAGAAATGCTTACCATTCAGAGCCGATGGTACCAGTAACTTATTGAAATACGCAGAAAGTCTGCTAATCTTTAAACCTTGTACCCCTGATTTTAGAGAATTCCGTCACAACTTATGAGGGCTATTATCTGTAGTATTTGGCCAATAAAACGTACCTACGACTTCATTATATATACACGAATTCCTCTCATATTTGTTGTTAGTAATTCCATTATTCAAGCATTTCCATTTTCATTTTCAGCATTCTATAATTATTTAAGAAAGTTACATGAGGAAACTAAAGTGTGACAGTCTGACATAAAAATCCACCAGGGAACAAAAGTTAACAAGGACGCAAATCTAGCTCAGAAAGGATTATTGCACGGACAAGCAACAAGAGGAACGTGGCAGACACCTAAACATACACGAAAACATCATCAGGAAACAAAAAATGTCCCTAAATATTCCCCTCCTTTTTCTTTGTTGGAGATGAGTGGGGGATATTTATTGTTGATCAATAGCATACAATTTGTAAATTGAACTCATATTATAACGCAAGTGCAAAGCCTGCGTATGTGACGTAGCGTGGAGCAGTTGCGGATGCTAAAGATGTTCTTTCGTGGTATTCTTTCTGTCCAGATACTTCTTTAGGCTGAGGCAATCTACCAGTATTATAAATACAAAAGGAACGGCGAACAACAACGCCCCGAATACTCCAACAGCAACAGACGAGGGACGGTTGTCTTTCACGCTAATCTTCTTTAGAATATATTCTGAAATTAGGAAAAAATAGCCAAGGATAGTATAAGGACACAATATTCATCAAAGTACATCTTAACCTTGAGCGAGATGTTTCTGTTCTCTTCAGTTTTCGCAAACAAACGAAAAATAAATTTCAAAAACCTAATAATAGTCTCTACCTTTTCAACACATCTGAGCTTCGGCAGTCTTTTAAATTCCACTTCGGGTTTCATAAACAAAAATCCAATAAGAACAACATAAAGCGGATTTCGTTTTAAAAGTCAACACATTTCAATATTGACCTTCTTGTACTTTTGAGGGTTAGCAAAATTGAAATGATTAACGTTTAATAGTTTACATAACAAAATAGCAATGACGCATTTCCTATTTAAATGTTACATGTAATATATCATTGGACATTTAAACCTTACATAAGAATAGAATAAATCAATCAAGTACAAACGATGAAATAATTTCATTTTGAATGACAATAAAAAGTAAACAGTACTCATTATTTTACTTTGTAGACCTCGGTTTGATTAAACACTCAGTGTGATTAAAACGTTATTTCAGCTAGGCGGATAGTCCACTGAAGCTTTGTCAGTTTTATTATTTTTTGCTCAAGTCTCCAAAATTGAACAGTTATTAACTTCAATTCATAATACACGGGACCTTGAACATTCATTCCATGTGAACGTAACGAGACATTCCAAGGATAACGGAAGGAAACTGAGACATGTGTTGTTTGTAATAATTTGAAATGATCTACAAAAAGAGTAAAACTCAGATTAAATTATCATCCCGTGTATATATGCAGCTTTGTTCAATAAAGGCAGTTGTCTATAAACCATATTCGGCTATGTGTAGCAGTGTGTAAACGGAATACACCTTACGTTATATTGACGAATTGTACCGCCCACTGTACCAAATGTTTATGTCTGGCTTTCTGATGATGCATTAAAGCACCATACTGCAATATCTTAATTTTATCTTAAAAAACGAACGCCTATACTAGTATTCGTTATCACAATAATAATATAGTAATTGTCATGTATGTGTTTTGAGACTGGGTTGGGTAATTCGGGTGCACTTGGGAGATTTGTGGAACAAGTGTTAATTTCATATATTATTGGAACTCTTTGATGTTTTAGACGTCGCAAGGCATTATAGAAAGTAAACAAACATCGATAAATGATTGTAGCCGACTGTAATTCGTATTCTATTGTTTTCTGCGTCCCTGAATTTTCTGGCAAGTTCGTAGTTTTTATTGACCATAACAGCCTATTGCAGCCGCGATTTTGATGTTTATCCAAACAC